ATAGAAAATCTACAGTCAATTTGTAAAAAAATAAAATATCACAATCCCAAATGTATAATTTTTATAACTGTCTCTGGAGACTAATTATTTGTCAATTATATAGTACTAATAAAGAATAAAAGACTGTTCATAAGGTTTTTGTATGTTTACTTCTCAGATTTACTGGTTGTTTTTAATTATAATATTTTAATTATATTTAACATTTGATAATGATCCAATTGGTGTCGAAATGTCTGTATGTATATTATAAATTGTCTATTGTTTTATTAAACTAAATTGTTTTTGCACGTAGCCCTTCTTATTGTCATTACTAATTTGACATTAAATAATTTAATATTACAATACATAATTTATATAATTCTTACATACATGGAAAAATTTGTATATCTTACTATTATTATTTCCTATATATAAATAGTTTAAAGAAATCTCTAAACGCTCACCTATACTTATTTATAGATTTTGGTGTCTCAGCAATTATTCCGCTGTAGTAATTATTGGAATTAACATCGTGAAATATTGCTACAACTCGCGTTCCAACTGGAATCAAAACTTTACTTAGTTCAGTTGTTGCTATCAGTTTGCCAGAGACAGTCTTTATCGCCGCATTATACTTTTTCTGGATAAGTTTCACGCGAATGCTCCATGGATTTGATGAAACATTTAGTACCTACGAAAAGATCTTTGTATACTCTAATCTTCTTTGATTTCTTCTTCTCTTTAATCAAAATACAAGCGAAAAAAATATGCTTTGTATATGATACAACAGATAGATAAAGATTCTACAAACCTTTGCTTTAATCCATGGCATAACTGGACTTTTCATAATATAAACGATATCATCTACCTCTGGAGACCGTTTAAGGAGTGGACCATTTGGCGGTAAATTAGGAATGATTGTTTCCTTAATACCAGATGGTTCAATCGCTAAAACTTCCAGTTGATCTTGTAACAGCGAGGAAGGCGGAACGCGTACTTGCGTTACTTTTTTCGTTGCTACAAACGGATAGGTAGAAGTTTCCGGATAGGTAATTTCGTCGTTTATTTGCAATTCCTCAAGCTTTTTAATTTGCGGTCTAAAGTCCTTGTATAAGTTGTTACGCAATTTATCCACAGTACACATTATTTCCCGTATTTCGGTATTGAGAGATTCATTTGTCGCTGTCAATGCATAATACGATATAAAGCATGTCTTATATCTAAATAAAAGAGATAAAAGAGTTTGTACTTTTACATGCATCTTATGCGCTTATCTAGTGAATAATCGTCTTACCGCATATGTTTTGCCATCTTTTTTTCAAGGTTTCACACGCAACTTTAGTATGCTGCTCCACATTGTACTTTTTGTAAATATGTGACAATGTATCATTTAATTTATCCTGGATATCTAAAAATACATCGTCTGGAATGTATTCTGCAAAAAATAGTAAAAACATTCGTTATTTTATATTATTTTATATTTTTGATAATTGTCGAATCCAATTTTTTTTATGCCATAAAATTAGAAATAATTAAAGACGTAACGTACCGTTATTATCTCTCTCTGGTTCCTTTTTCTTCTCATCATCAGAATCATCGCTATCAGAAATTTCTACTTCCATAGTATGATCCGGAAAGTCACAATCTAATAGTGATCTATTTTCTATAAAGGCTCGTACCAATTGCTATAAACAAAATAATATTACCATTCGATATATCTTACATTAACATTCTTAATCTATTATATTAACATTTAGTTTATTCTCGTAATATATCGCTGCATTGATAAGAAAAGTGACCCATTTAAAAATTAGCGATTTTTTGATAAAACATTTTTTTAAATTCTGAATTGGAACGTTTTAATTAGGATAGTGAATAAGTACAATTTCTATAACTTATCACTTTTTCTCCATGTTATACTCTTTTAATTATAAAGTTTTTTTTTAACTGTTATTATTCGGACACTGTAGCCATAGAGTAAATTTTATCCCTTATCAGAATTGTGACACTTTTTGTTATAAGCAAATGGGCTACAAATATGTCATGTTTCCACTAAAATATATTATTGTTTAGACTTGATTTTACTTTTATTAACTAAAAAATACTAATTTTTTACTTATTTATCTTCTTATTAACGCAGCGAATATTAAAACAAAAATTACCTTCTGATGTTGCAATGCAACATCAAAACATTCTTGACATATTATACGTTTCTTTTTCTTCTCAATTAAAACTCCATAGAATGCACACGCGAAAGAAGGTGCCACCTTCATATTTACTCCAGAGCGACATTTAAAATTAACACAATTACTATTGTACCCTTTAGATTTGGTTTTTCTTGTCTTTTTTTCATCTTCATCCGACATTAATTCAATAACTTCTGCACTCTGTGCTTGAGCCATTTTCCTGATAATTGTTTAGCTAAACAATTCCTAGAAACAAAATATTCGTCTTAATGATTCTAAAAAAAAAAAAATGTTACACAAAAATCATACGATATGCATAAAAATTACTTAGGTAATCATATTTTTATAAGTTATACATACTGAATATACATAAATATATTCACATGAGTTATTAGTATATATTTATGATTGAAAATGTTACTTCATAAAATAACACGCGATTTATTCGCTAAGTATAATAATTATCGTTACTTAGAAAGTAAATAATTCGTTTCTTTTTTCTATTAATTTTTTGTAATGTTGAAATAAGATATTAGATTTAAATCAATGAAAACCGATGAAAACATGCCGCAATGGTCAAGCTGGATCTTGGGCTTGCTTCTATATAATTGTGTGTGTGTGTGTGTGTGCATGTGAATTTATAAACTACATATATGCAGATTTTTAATTGTGCGCCGAATTTTTCAGACTTGAAACGCATTTCTACTAACCCACTGCCGTAATATCACGAGTTAAATTGACTAACAATTTAACAATTTTTGATGTTCTTTGCACATCTTAGATTGATCTTAATAATATTGAATGACATATTAAAATCTGTAAATAATAATTTTTTTATTACGAAAATATTATCTTGGCCGGGAGTCGAACCCGGATCTCTTGCATTCCGTGCAAGCGTCCCAAGCCTTTAGACGTCTCTAGTTTTGAATAAGAAACAAGTCCATAGTGTGTAAAAGTCGATAGAATTAAGGAGCTTCGAAATATATAAATTTAAAAAAAAGTTCAGAAACACGAAAAAATCTCGTTTTAGCAAGTTACACTAAAGTTTCTGAGATCCAGTGTGTATAGGTATAGGTAGGGTTGATAATTGTTAAATCGAGGTATATAATTGTTTAGAATCCTCCCATACCACCGATTTTGATAAAATTAGGCTCATTCGACGTGTTTTTGCATGAAATAAAGGAATCTGGCAAGAAAAAGTGTTGCTCCGTTCTGTGAATCGAAATATTAAGCGTTAAAATTAACTTTTAAGGTTAGAAAAATCTGTTGACTTAATTAGTTTTTCGAGGAAGGGGGTGGAGGAATCCGGTTCAAGGGGCAATGACACTTTTTCTTACCAGATTCTTTCATGCGAAGACGCGTCGAATAAATCTAATTTGGTAATTATTTAGAAAAGTTGCCCTCAATTTTGATGAAATTAGTCTCATTCGATGCGTTTTTGATGCTCCTGAAAATGTACTTTCTTTTTAAACGCACAGTCAACACAAATATCGTTCTATCATTTGTTGAATGTCAAAAAGGGATAGAACGACATTTAAGTGTCGAGTATGTTTTCTAAAAGGAAAGCAGTCTTTATCTTCGCTTTGCTAAATGAATGAGGGTAAAATATACTTAAAAAAGTAGATTTGGAAAAGATTAGACAGATCCCTACAAGGTAAGCCGTATCATGTACTAAAAATAAAGCCATACCGTTATATATAGTTATCGATAATAAAAAATTCATTTATATTCTTTTTGTATCACAAAATACAACGTAATTCCTCAGTGTTCATTAATTAGAAATTAAGGGAGCTTTGCTTCCCGAAACCTCCCCCTTCGGCGCACGCTTGCATTACAGTATTTCGTGACTATGACACATTTCCTAACCTTAATAATCGTCAACGCTTTAACGCTTCCTATCGTAGTTCGCAGGGTAGAGCGACTTTTTCTGCCAAATTCTTTCGTTTCATAGAAAAAATGCATCAATTGAGACTAATTTCATTAAAATCGGAGGTGAGACACCTTTCTAAATAAATATCTTTATTATTGTATTGTATTTTTATTCGATTTTTCTTTCAAACATTATTTATTTACATCTTATTAATATTTATTATTTATAAGCGAGAAAAGGCATAAAGAAAATAATTAAAAATACAACATACAAATAAATACATAGTTAATAATAAGTCACTTTCAACACTTACCACAATTTCTATACAATAACAGTTAACACAGGAATTTTTGAATCATTTTGCACTTCTACTTTTAGATGATGCCCCACAAGCTGACCATCTGGCTATAAACTTTCAATTTTAGAGAAAGCGTTCTGCGCCATGAGTACAGCACTGCGGTAGCCGAGACAAGAGAAACGCATAAGAGAATCAACCAATCAAAATGCTTCTCATCCGTGAAGTGGGAGGAAAAGAAGCATTGTGATTTGTTGATTCTCTTAGGATTGGATTATACTGGCCGTAATCTGTTAACTTATGCCGTAATCTGTAAAAATTGACCAATTATAATCGATTATTCCCCTCTCATTCGACTGTGATTGGTCTATTTTTACAGATTACGGCATAAGTTAACAGATTACGGCCAGTATAAACCAACCTTAAGGAGCCTACAGACCAGAGCGGCGTAGCGGTGAAGCGGTGAGCGATAGCCAATGAGAGCCATGTTTTTACGCAAAATCATGGCTCTCATTGGCTATCGCTCGCCGCTTCACCGCCGCTCTGGTCTGTAGGCTCCTTTATGCATCATGCAAAAGTGTGTGCTGCGGCCTTTAACCGGTGAACTGCTCTGCTCTGATTGGTTAGTTTCCAACATTCAACTGTAATCAATCGCAACAGAGCGCGCAACCTGTAGTGTGATTACGCCTTTACGGAGGTTTATGTCATATTGGGAAAGAATACATCCAGCGATGTTTTCTTACGCGTTAATTTATAGCATGTAATATACAATTTTCTTTTCGTTTAAAGTTTATACTTTGCAATAACAAAATGGCATCACTTGCTCGCGTTGGTTTCGTGAAACTCGGATACAACAATCTTACTAGACAATTATGTAAGGTTAGTATTGATACACATTAACAGTTTTTATTTTAACATCTAAATACGTTTTACAAAAACGAACATATTGGTAGTTAATCATTAATACGAGATTCATCATATCTTTTCATGAAACTATAAAGAAAGTATTATAAATAATGCAGAAAAAAGGTGCATATATATATATATATATATACACACATACATATTTATAATAAAATATTTTAGGACCTATATATTCTTGTATGACATTTTTTCTTATTTCTGCTGAATTTTATAATTTTTTTAACACAATATGATTTCTGTAATTATTCTGCATATAAAAGCATTAAGGTAAAGATATTAAAAAACCAATTTATGTGAGATATCTAATTATTCTGACACTCTGACATAAAACATAAAATGTCTCGTGAACTATTAATTTTTTAGCAACTGTATCCTAATACTTTTACGCATAGAATAATAAGATGAATCAATTAGTATGCAGAAAATAAATACTTAATGTTAAAGAAAATTATGCAATTTACAATGTGCAACTATATATGTATTTTCTAAAATAGCTACTGTTTATTTTCTTTGTACCAATTGATTCATCTTATTATTCTATACACAAAAGTATTGTGTACAGTTGCCAAAAAATTAATAGTTTACGAGGTATTGTATGTTTTGTATCAAAATGTGTCAGAATTATTGGAAAATGTAAAATATTTTGTAAACTATTGGTCTCTTTATATCTGTACCTTCTTCTTCTTGTACGATTATATTCTGATTCAAATTATTTCGTAATAAGTAAATCTTATTCATTAGATTCAACACTATTGAAGAGGCTTTTTTAAATTTTTTATCGATCTTAATAGTTTTCAAAATACTGGTGTGTACAGATTAAATTGAATGTCTTGTATATACAGTAAGACATCTAACTTTCATATCTATAAATTTGTAAATTATAAATTGTACGAAAAATTGTTACACATAAAAGTTGCATTACTTCGAGGGATTATTACATGAATTTTCTTGTTAGTTTTTGTTTCCTTGAATATTTCTCGTTCAGGTTTAGAACAATTAATGATAATTAATGATATACACAAAATTAAACATCTTAAGGTGATGCTGGACCCGCCTGAATTATCGATAGAACAGATTTTTAATTACAATTAAAATATTACATATATTAAGAAAATATTTACATAAATTAAATAAAACATTACATACATTAAATAAGCCATTAAGTAAAACGTTATGTATTTCTTGTTTTGCTATATTTTATATATCGCCTGAATGTGAGGTTATGTACACTAAAATCATATTTCTCATGCCATTTCTCTTGTAAGCTTTAAAATCATAATTTGGTTTTATATCTATAAGAAGGTCTTATAATACTCTTATAAATTAGTCAAAGTACCATGTAACGGGAAAGTACTTTTTGTTTGGATATATGCTTGCATTTGTTTATATATATGTAAAGAAAGAAAACCTACATGATAATAGAAAACTGTATGTTACAATTTTTGGGGGATCTCTCATACCGATTTGTACTTTTCCGCATTTATTTATTTTTCTTTTTATTCTGTAGAAGAAATTTTTATTCTATATAAGGAAAACGAAATGGCATGAGAAATACGAAATGAGTTTTGTCTGTAACTCCCTTGTGTGGCACAAAAAATGTATATACGTTCATAAAAAAAAACAAAGTTGACTTTCACATTTTTAAAATGCCTTTACTTATAAAAGAAACTTATACATTATATATATAATGATTTCTTTAAAATTATGTAAATTTTGTATTTTTTTTTCGTATAACTTATAATTTACAAATTTTTTGAAATGTGCAAATTAGGTGTCTCATCCTGTACATGAATATAAATTCTGTCAGAGTAAAATGTCACTGTACTTCTAATTTGTGTGGATACAGGTAACAGCTACCAGCAATGTAATGCAATTGGCCTTCATTGCACAAAAAGCGAAACGAATAAATTGTCGACATCTCGCACCGTTTGATTATCTGCATAAAAAATATGGGTTTTGGGCACAAATGTTTGATCCGATGGTTGATCGTTGCGATGAGAATTCCAAGGTGATCGTCGTCGAAGGTCCGATTGCTGCAGGAAAGTCTAAAGTGGCCGCAAAATTGGCTGAGGAGTTTGAGATGGTCTATCTACCACCACCGACTTTCGATGAGTATTATATAAATGAATATGGATACGATATACGTACGCTGGACGATAGATTGTCTGTGGGTTCACAATCGTGTGACGTGCAGAAATTTCTGACAAATCCGTATCATCCCAATGTGCCCATGTTTCAATTTCATTATTTTCAATTGAAATTCGATCAGTATATCACTACTCTACTGCATTTGCTCTCAACTGGCCAAGGAGTGGTGCTCAACCGTTCTTTCTATAGCGATTATGTATTCGCAAAAGCGATGACTAACGCTGGTTATATGCGTTCGGAAGCATTAACATTTTACCATGAAATCGTAGACATGGCCAAGTTACAGATGTTGAGACCTCATTTAATCATTTATTTGGACGTACCTGTGAATACAGTTATGGTAATTTGAATTTATTAATACAAATGATACACTGCTTGCTTTCCATTTTTCACTATGTGTTTGTAAAGAATATTTTGTCTTGTTTTAACATATTAATATTTGTAGGAAAAAATAAAAAAACGTAGCATACCATACGAAGTAAATTCAAAAGTACTCACCTCAGAGTATCTCCAAGATATTGAAAATATATACAAGTTGGATTATTTGAGAAGTATTGAAGAACATTCTCATGTTCTAATCTATGACTGGACAAACGAGGGAGACATTACTTACATGGTCGAAGATATTGAAACGCTAAATTTTGATTATGAGGATAAAACAGCTAAGAAAATGTCTGATTGGAGATTTGAAAGCGTTCAGGATCTTCGAACTAAAAGACAATATTATGAAAATAGATATCACTTACATATAGACTATTGGAGAAACAAGTATTCAATACCAGAATTGCACTATACAGCTGAAGAAAAGAAAGAAATGTATGAAATAATGCAAACGGTATGAATATGTCTATAAATACGTTATTTAGAAATTTGCAAATTAAAATACTACAATAAAAAATTTTTCAAAAATTAAGTTAAAAACAATATTTAAAAATAAAAAGTTACGTCAAAGTTGATTATTGAGTGCTAATAATTAAATTTTAAATATTTAATAATTCAGTTAATACAAATTTACAAACGTTTTTATCTCTATGAGGTCTTTAGCATAAACAAAACAATTAAACATAAACGGAAATCACATTATTACAAGTCGATTACGTCAATATATCGTTAAATTCTTTAAAATATAATAAAACTTTTTAAAGTCATAAATGTTCGTATATAAAGTAATTATTTTTTTCTTTCAATTGTAAGAACCGCACGTCTTCTAATATGTTTTCCATTAATGAACAACAGTAATAACATCAGAATGTCTCATTACACATGACTGAATGTTTTTTCTTAAAATGAACTTGTTATATCTCGATTTACAAAGGTGGATAAACTTAAGTATAAATAATTAATTTTTATACCAACTAAAAAGTATTATATGAGATATAAAAATAAATATTATATAATATCAAATCTTATTTAGACCGTAAGAGTTTAAAATTAAATACTGATGAGAATAAGTCATTTATATTGCCATTTATACACAATTATATGAAATATATTTGTCTAAAGATTCGGTGTTGCTACCATCAACGCGGACTTCTTGGCTGAAAGCTCAGGAGCCTTTAAGGGATTGTTATATATAATTATTGTGATCTGGTTACAGGTACCCGGATATAAGTACACTAAAGGATATAACACCAATTTAGGAGATAAAAATATTTTGTGGAAAAAAGATCCTCCCTTTTATTTATCAACTCTAAGACCTAGTGCACGCGAAGTAGATGTGCTGGTTAATGAAATGGAGAAACTCAAGGCCGCGGCGACGGTGTGAGAACGAAAAAAAAGATATATCTAGGAAAGAAATAGAGCTTGTAAATAATAATTGAAGTAAAAATAAATGTTACTTTCAACTGGGAAATGTCTGCAATCTTTGTTTCTATTGAATTAATTTTTTTCATTTTAATGCTATATTTTATAATTTATAATAATGGAAAAATGTGTAATTATTATAATTTTTTTTTAATATAAACATATAGATAATTATAGATATGTATTTACGTAATTTTACGTGTATTTGAAAAGTATATACCAAATGCCTTAGAAAATGTATTATTTAATTTAAAACATATATAGGACTTAATATATGTTTTAAGGCCTCGGTAGTCTAATTGGTATAAGGACGCTCGTACGGAATGTAAGAGATCCGGATTCGACTCCCGGTCGAAATAAAATTTTTCGCAATATAAATTAATTATTTACAGATTTTTAATGTCATTCATAGATTTTAAAATGTTATTCAACATTATTAAAATCCAAGATGCTATAGGCATCAAAAGCGTATACCTAGCTGCTTTGCCGTCGTGAAATTCACGCCGAAGTTATAACATCGATGTTATGAAACTGGCCAATCATAGCTATTCCTCTGAAGAATGGAATGACTGTGATTGGCCACTTTCATAATATCGACGTTATAACTTCGGCGTAAATCGAACCGTGTAATTATATTCGGGAAGGTTCCGATTGCTACATGTACGATTGCACACATTGTTCGCTGATTGGCCAATTTAAAAATAATATAACCTGATTGATAAAGCACGAAAAAGTTACTAGGCACCGATCGATGTAAGTGGTGTGTGCAATCGGGAATGTAGGCAAATGGGATTCTCCCGTTATATTCAAGATAAAGTTTGTTAGACAAAGGCGGATAATCGATCGATTGATTTCATGAAATTATTTACGCCAAAAAAGTTTTTTTTTTATTATCCTCAACGCGAGCTATTGAAAATTTAAAGGATATTTGCTATAGTTGTTAGGAATTTTTGGGGGATTTAAATACGTTTAGGGGGCACCTTTTAAAATCATCTGGCAACACTGATATGTATATATATATATATATATGTTTACAAAACTACATGTAAATTTTATAAAATTAATATTACATTATCAACTTTTTACTCCTAAGTATATAAATGTCAACAGTCACGTGAAATTCTATGAGACACTAATATAATATGTATAAAGTATCGCGTCTCGGTACTCAACTTATATGTGTACTAGATTTTATTTTCGTGACTAACGATTTAAATTTGAATTTATGAAATGTCGCACTTGTGTGTGTGTTTCAAATCGCTGTGATTGCGCGTCTCATTTCCATCACAGCTGGTTACAGCTTCGCGCTCTGCGACGAGTGCGACACTCCACCTCTGGTATGCGTTATGCGATAAACGCAGATCCACTGTAATGTTGTAATCCCGTATCAAGATTCTGATGCGCGGTTGAGAAAAAGTGAGAAGTCGAAAGCGAATCCTCCGAGAGGCTCGGGACTCATCGAACGAAAATTCGATAAGATAAAACTTCGGTAAGATGCGTTATGTCAAACGCGTCGCCGTCAGTCCGTGAGTGTCTCGCGTTCGTTACTCGCAGTTTATTATAACCTTTCGCGTCTTTAACGGTTTGCTGTGACGCTCGCAAAGATCCCAACATCGAATCTCCTCACCCTACGACTTCGCAGTGTACTCTCGTCGCACTTTACATTCGCAACGAAATCGAAAACATGTCCGACCAACATCCGACCGAGTCTGTGGAGGACGACAGCTCCGTCACGATGCTCGATGTTCTCCAAATAGAAAATCAACTCGAAGAGGATGCACATGCCGTTCTCGGCGCATCAGACGATCAGAATTGTACTTACAGTAAGGTAGCAATGCCTTTAATCTTTTGTCTGCGACAATATCGCACTTTACAGTTTTTGTTCTCCATTTAACTAACTGGTTTGTCCTTTTGAATAACTGTTGTAGGGATATATGAGACAGGCGTTGTACGCATGCAAAACGTGCTGCATGGACAAAATTCGAGCTGCCGTCTGTTTGGCATGTAGCTTTCACTGTCATGAAGGCCACGAACTTGTAGAACTGTATACAAAGCGACACTTCAGATGCGACTGTGGAAATACTAAGTTTGATGGCAAACAGTGTAATCTGGAGAAAGTAATGCATCTTTCACTTAGATACCTTTGTATGTTCTATATAAAATTTCTTGATTAACCGATGTTTATTATTTCTAGATAAAATCTGCTACCAATATTGAGAATAAATACAATCAGAATTTTGATGGTGTTTATTGCACCTGCGCAAGACCATATCCTGATCCCGATGGTGATGAAGATGACATGCTGCAATGTATAATATGTGAGGATTGGTATCATTTGAAGGTAAATTACAAAATAATCTCTATGTAACTTGTATTGACCTCTTTTGAACTTTGTATTCAGCGTTTGGAAAATTTATATGTATATATAAAATTAAACTTTAGAAAAGTCAAAATGAGTATCCATTAGATAAAAGTTAAAGAAAATAATGAAAAAAAGTAAAGTGTTGTTGATTGAGTTGACGAGGTAAACTACAAGAAATATGCAATCAAAAATTAAAGTTTTTATTTAAGAAATTGAAGATGACCTTTAACTGTAACTTTTAAACGACTATCCAAGGTCATCATCTTGTCCTCTTCTGAATCATACAATTTTTGTCTGAAACATTTTTTTTGTATCATTCGTATTTGTCGAGATATTTGTCTTGATTAGATTAAAATAACTCATAGTCTGTATAGTCTATTTAATAAAGATAAATTTTAAAGGACTACTGTGATTTTTTTAGCATTTGGAATGTGACAACAGTGCACCAGCAGATAATGCATATGATGAAATGATCTGTGCAGGCTGTATGAGGAAACACAATTTTCTATGGAAATATGCAACAAAACATGCAGGTTGCTTGGACTTTTGTGATATCCACACAAACTTAATTATTATTGTTATTGTACATTATTATTGTTAATGTATTTAATTGTAAGCTTATCAATATATTATTTTGCTGCGAGTAGTCCTAAAGAAAGCGGATGTGAAATTGGATGTATCTGAAAAAAATGAAGAGATAGACGTGAATGAGTTGCCCAAAGAATGTCAAATGCCAAAACTTAATTGTGCAGATTCTAAGGGAAGCTGTTTTTGGATAGAGGGCTGGAGAACTGCACTATGCACTTGCGACGAATGTAAATCGGTGGGATATTGACTTTTTTCACGTACTTTCATTATTGCTGACATATTATATTTGTTAAAAGATTTGTGCATCTTTGCATGACAATCTTTTATTACATTTGGTATTATTATTGCAGTTATATAATGCAAAAGATATTGCATTTTTACTCGATCCAAAAGATAGTGTACAAGCATATGAGGAAGCAGGTAAAATGAATAAACAAGAATCTCAATATGAAAAAGGCATGAAGGCTCTTGCCAGCATGGGGCATGTACAAAAGTTGACAGCGATTGAAGGTAAAGCACTATGAGATTAAAAATATTCTACAAAATATATTTTTGAAAATATTAAATTTTTCAAAAAATATTTACCACATTCACTAACGTTTAAGCTGTTTATAATCGTTTACAGAATATAACAATATGAAAGAACGGCTTATGCAATACCTACAGAAGTTTGCTGAAAACAAGAAAGTCGTACGCGAAGAAGATATTAAAGAATTCTTTTCGGAAATGGAATCCAAAAAACGTCCTAAAGTAACAGTGCCAACGTATTGTCGTTGAAAGCTTGTATTTATCCCCATAGTTAACAATGATCCAAATAAAAATAAGCATTTTATTGTTTCTATAGCAGGATGTCGTATATATCTTGAGTTTTAAGAATTTTATATTTAATGTTTAATTGGTACATGTCACTGAATTGAAAAATCTCCGAATAAAAATTTCCATACACATAATTATAGGAGAAGATGGAAAGAAATGTAAAGAGAACGTAATTTGCAGATATAAATATAATGTCAAGAGAGAGTATTAAGAAATAATTCGCAGTTTCTGTTTATGTATTATAACATTTAATCTCTAATTCGATTTAATTACAAATAAATTTTTTATTGAAAGATATAACGAACAAGTCCTTGTTTATTTTCTGTTTCCCTGTCATTTCTTTTCTTGCTTCCATTACTTTATATTTGCGTTTCACACTATTGACGGAGCAAAACATCTTGCCTTTTTTATAGACTTGTTAGATTATTTTACAGATTTTTATGTAGATTAATTTTATCGATATATATTTAATATTTTTTGAGATTTTAAAGGAGGACGTTCAAAATATAATCGCGGTGACGTAGGTATCATACAGTAGTAGATAATATTTATTTTATACATATATATAATTGCTGTTATACATATACAGAATATCTTCGACATATTCACAATGATGGAACATTGCTGAGATTCACTCATTAACATAATCGCGTTTTAGCTAACGTTTCTCGTGATTGCTTTGATATCCGCATTTTTCGTATTATCTTGCTTTATGAAGAATCTTTGGCAGTTTGAACATGGCCGGAGACACTACCGCGTCTCCTGATATCGAAAAATAAATTCGATAAACTATGCAGGCAACTTGTAAATTATATCTTTTATTTATTAAAAAATGAATACATGTACATGTAAAAAAAACGTAGAAAGCTGCTTAAATTTTGTTACAAACATAAAATGCAGTTTCCTATAACACGTGAAAAATAATGTAATACATGAAAATTGTATTGTTTTATTCGATACAAATGTTTAATATCATGTAATAGTAATAAAAGATTATAATTGCCTCAAACACAAGCATTATTAGACATTATCTTTAAGGAAGGTTGTTGAAATACACATATTAAGAAATAAAATCCAAATGCAAAAAAATATGTGTATCAAATCTATTACAAATTATTAACGAATAACAATAAAAACATAAGATTAGTACATTCTTTTTTATACTTTTTTAAAAAATACTTTTTTCTATCTAGTGACATATATTTTCTCTTACAAGATTCAATTATTTAATAGATGCTATACATTTCGTGTATGCTTCGTCTTTACGATCACTCGCTGTACATATTTCTTTATATTTTTTAAAAAATTTTCTTATCCTTACCTGGTATATACAGTATGTTTCATTTTAATCCGACCACGCAGGTATCTCTGTCAAAATGAATGATATCAAAAAATGGTCTCTACAAAAGTTGAAGGGGACAGAGGGGACCACCCAATGATACTAACAACCTTGACCTTGAACTCGATTTTCAAGGTCATTTGAAGGTTGAAGTGGTATTTTTAAATGGGAACCCCTATTTTTAACCCCGGAATCGGGTAGAGCGGGAAAATTTACGTCTAAAATGACATTAAAAAAAATTTTTTTTTTTATTTTATTTTATTTTTTTCTTTAAATTGTGATGTTCTCTAACGCGTGCTAGTAAAATGGCCTCTACAAAAGTTGGAGGGGACAGAGGGGGCCACCCAATGGTACCAACAACCTTGACCTTGAACTCGATTTTCAAGGTCATTTGAAGCTTGTTGATACCATTGGGTGGCCCCCTCTGACCCCTTCAACTTTTGTAGAGGCCATTTTACTAGCACGCGTTAGAGAACATCACAATTTAAAAAAAAAATAAATAAAAAAAATAAAAAAATTTTTTAAATGTAATTTCAGACGAAAATTTTCTCGCTCTACACGATTCCGGGGTTAAAAATAGGGGTTCCCATTTAAAAATACCACTTCAACCTTCAAATGACCTTGAAAATCGAGTTCAAGTTCAAGGTTGTTGGTACCATTGGGTGGCCCCCTCTGTCCCCTTCAATTTTTGTAGAGGCCATTTTTTGATATCATTCATTTTGACAGAGGTACCTGCGTGGTCAGATTAAAATGAAACACACTGTATATTTTTCTATTCCAAGATTCAATTAGTAAATACGATTTTGTGTACGCTTCGTCTTTACATTCACCCACTGTAAACAGTATTTGTTTCACATATCTTTCATGTAGCGGTATGAACATTAATAACCTGATCAAAAAAAATCAAGTTACATATGGTTACATAAAAAATTTTGTAATTCAGCTACATATTTTAAAGAATCATACGTCAAAAAGTTCTTTTCTTTTAATTATATCATTCTGCCTATTAATGTCCTATTCATATATACAGTTACACGATGTATGGTATTATTTGTAATACCACTTGATTATCTTTAAGCACGTGACATTTAAAAATAGCGTAATGATTTGGAACATTTCGTTACGTATAATTTATCAATATTAATTACATGATGTCGTCTTGTAACACGCAGTCACGTTATCTTTTTAGAAAGGTTCTATCAGATATCGAAGAAGAGAGCACAAATAATGCATAGAGCGGTATACGCGCGAATACTTTACTTATTTTATTTTAAGAGAGTACAGTCGAGACAATATCACTCAATATTTAATCCATTCGTAGATTCGGTTACGGTACCATCACATTCAATTTCCCACATTGATGGAAAATTGCAGTTGTCTACACATGTAAATTGCCGGAAGCGCACTCGGAAGAGACGAATACAGATATACTCAGACTAACGTAACTCATTGTTATCCATTAATTCATAAAATAGACTGACAAACATTTATGAAAATTGAATCCTTCCCACGATTGTATTTATTCTTAGTCAAAAGTTTAAAAATCGTAAGAGAATTTTTAATAATCCTATTTTCACGTTTCATCATTGCAATCTCGTTTCTAATTAACATACCGAAGTTGGCTCGAGCCCTATACAAAGAAAATCAAATTTTGTATACAAATTTTATGAAAATAACATTTTCATGAAATTTGTATACATGACACACGCATAAAAGTACAACTCCTAAATGCTCACGTCCTAACACTAAAACATAAGTGTTACTGTAATTGTAAAAGCGTGACAACGTCTCTTTTAGTACAATGTATAGCTTCAGTTTCAAGAAAGTCAAACAGCCTTTAATTTGTAAGGGCGTACTACATTTAATAAAGCGAAGACGTAATGAAGGTATATAGTATATATATTAAAGTTATTTATAGAAATATGCAGGGAGAACTGGAACGTTTCGTACTTTAAACATTTTATCAACAATACACGTCAATCTCTATAGACGCAAAATGAACATAGAATGACACATAAACATAATTAATGTTTAAAATAATAAAATTATTATAAATCATTTCGATAATAATTTATATTTTTTAATATTATGAGGCTGTATTCTATATGTATATTATACGTCAATTTATGTAATATCCTTCGTACTTTTTCCTTAACATCGTTAAAATATAATTATCACATGCATTACTGTAATCTTCTTTGTATGACTGCAATTTGTATCCACAATACAATAACAAAAAGAATTTAACAGCCAATATTGCTAATATGACTCTTAATGACCGTATTATTATACAGTACATTCAAATAATAAAAATATTGAATGGATATATAATATTATTGGACGTAGACGTACAATCAATTAATAGTGCACCCATGCATACAACCATTAATGGTGCGCATTCATGCATTCATCCATTAATTAATGGTGCAAGAATACACAATATATACAATACTAAAATTTTAGCGAATGAAATTTTTCCTAATAGGATACAATAGAATTTATAAAATTTGCGGAATATATCCTGAATAAACAATTCGGTTTGAAATCGATTCAGTTTTAAATCAGTTTGACGTCATAGTTTGTAGACATTTTTTTTTTAAATCTTTGAAAAAAGATTGACTCCGATGATTAAACGTTGATAAAATATCATTTTTCTTTGTAAATTATTAGAAAATATGCTCGATATAACGTTAAAAATATATGACAGATTAAGCAATATCCGTTTGATTTTGTCTCAGTGGCTACTTCTAAGAAATAATATGTGCTCCTAAGGATGCTATACATTACACTACATAAATTAGAGTATCTCGTACAAAAATTATGTTCACTGGATATTTCCTACCTATGAGATTATAGCTCGTATAAATATTATATCTGTATCCTCAACTTCTTTCAACGTTGTTACGCATTACTTTTATTACTAGTACTTATAATTGTATTTAATTTTTTATATCGTTGTCCATCGCGGTTCGTTGATATCCTAAAAAATAAACAATTTTTCTTACAGAGTATACAGAAATTAAACGTCAAAACTTTGGTAACGCTTAGAAATCGACAAACTACGAAAAATACTTGTAAGAATATGCCAGTTTTACGTAGTTCTGGAGAATGTCGCAAAAGGAGAAAAACTTATAAAGTCATCTCTGCACTCTTCTATTTGTTAAACTTATTTATGCTTTATTTATTTGTTTGCGTGTTGTAGATATTATTTAAAGTAATGGTTTCTTGTTTCTTTCTCAGACAAGCAAGCATATTGTCGGTACGGACAGTCCGTCTTTCGGACAGACAGTGATTTCGTCGTATTTAGTGCATTGCGATTTCGATTCGGCGATTTCATCTGTTGTTGTATGTTTTTTCTCGACGATGTAATTTCCTACAATGTGCACCTCCACAGAAACATCCTGTATTATGAGGACATATGGTTAAAATGATCAAAACACATTATAGGCCAGTAAAATTAGACAAAAAAAGGGGGTTTTTGAAAAAGTGATGCTAACTTTACGGGACTTTTTCAGGGTTGTTTGGGAAATTAAGGAGAGCTTAAATCCAAGTTTGCGTATACTCAGACCCCTAGGGATTTTTTTAAGGGGGGGAAGGTAAAAATTTTGTTTACGCTATAACTCGGCACCAATTGATTGTACAGAAAAAATAAAAAGAAGGGTTTTGTAGGTTTTTCGAAGCTCTACAAGTTTCCTTTGGACGACTTTTCCCTAAAATTAATATTTAACGAATTATCGTTAAAAAACAGTAAAAAAAGTAAACTTTTTTGGTTTTTCGCTTATATCTTTTTTGGGTCAA